ATTTCTCATCCCACCGTAGCCCAAATGGTTCGAAGGGGCCATAGTGTCTCTGCACAGGCGTTTTTGGGACCTCCCCTTATTCTTGGTCTTAGATTTGTTCTTGCTGGACTGGTATCCCCTGGTAAGATCATTCAGAGGTTTTACAATCATAGCACAGTTTTTCACAAATCTGCGGTAGTAGCCACTAAACCCAAGAAAGGTCTTGAGTTCTCTGTAGTTACTTGGACATGGCCACCTAGTGAGTGCTTCTATTTTATCGGGATCAGTACTCACACCCTCTTGGGACACGATGTGACCCACATACTTCACTGAGGTCCTGCAGAACTGGCATTTGTCAATTGAAAGCTTCAAACCATAATCCTCCAACCTATCAAGTACTTTAAGAAGTCTTTCTTCATGCTCCTCCAAGGTTCTTTAAACATAATCAGGTCATCCAAATAAACTAACACTTGCAGTAAATTAATGTCTCCCACAACTTTCTCCATAAGACGTTGAAATGTGGTAGCTGCTCCAGAAATCCCTTGGGGCATGCGTTCGAACTGATAAAACCCTAATGGGCAGATGAAGGCTGTCTTCTCCTTATCTTCTTCACCCAGAGGGATCTAGTAGTATCCAGTCCGAAGATTCAACACAGAGAACCACTGGCTTCCCAGCAAACAGTTTAAGGCATCTTGGACTCAGGGCATTGTGTACTGGTCGACCACAGTACGGCGGTTTAGGGTGCGGTAGTCAATACACATCCGGATTTTCCCATTCTTTTTATGGACTACCACAATGGGTGAGGCGTATGGGCTGCGGGACTCTGTAATGGTGCCATTCGCAGCCAGCTCCTGAAGATGTTGTTGCACATCTTCCATCTCGGAATAAGGGACAGCGGCATCATGCTTTTACCTGTCTCCTCCCCCACTCACACTGAAAGCAACAAGAATGCTGGAAAAAACAAAGACTTTAACTGAGGAGACTGGTCCCAGGCTTGAGAGAGAAGCCTGTGTATTAAGAACTGGAACATCCAGTGAGGTGTGAGAAAACTGCTTAATCTAAATACTGCCTAGTGTAATAGGGTTTCAGATTTAGACTGTGTGCTTACCTTTTATTTTCTTAAATAACTATCTCTGACCTTTTATGCCTACCAGTTATAATCACTTACAATCTCTTTCTGTAGCTAATAAATCTGTTTTATATTTTACCTAAAACAGTGTGTTTTGGTTGAAGTGTTTGGGAAATCTCAGATCAGTTTACAAAGGCTTGTGTATGTCCTCTCCACACTGAGGGAGGGGTGAACTGGGTAATAAACTTACACTGATGAGGCTTCTGACCAGGGCAAGACAGTACAGTTCTGGGATGCAAGGCTGGGGAGCAATTGGCCTGTAGCTTTCTCTGTGTGATTCATCAGTGGCTCAGGGAGCATTCATGCAATCTAGCTGGGTGTGGAGTGCCACATGCTGTTGTGCTGAGTGATAACTGCACCTGGAGGGGTTTGCTGCTTATCACTAACAAAACATTGAGAGAGACAGCCCAGGCTGGAGAGTTAAGGGGGCACTCCAGGGATTCTGTCACAGTAGGGACCTTGGGGTTTTTTTCCACCTAGCTCCACAGCATGGGGTGTGAGTTCCCTTGCTAGAATCATCTGGGGGTATCTCACCAAAGGCATTCCTTGCCATTGCAGGGGCCTTGGACAGTGGTGCATCCCAGTCCCGCCAATTCCCGGCCTGTGGCAGACAATAGATTAGTCTCCAGATGGTTGTAATGCTTTAGTCTAATCCAGATGATTGGACTCTTTGCAGGGGTAACTTAACTGGGTGGGGTATAGTGGCCTAGGATGTGCAGAAAGTCAGATTACAACATATGCCTGGTGAGGGATCATTGGAAAACTCATGAGCTGCTGAATATTTTGCTGTTGAAATGCGTGTAATCCACTGCATGTAGAATGGTGAGATTTTATTGTATGTTTGTTACTAGGGTGACCATATTCCAGGTGCCCAAAAAGAGGACACTGATGAGGGGTGGGAACTGGGGGGGAAAATAAGGGGGTAGAGTTGATGGTGCATGAGGGGGTGCAGTGGGGGTATTCATGAGTTGAGGGCCGTGTCAGTCGCTGTCACAGTGGCAGGGTGGCTGGCAGAGTCGGGGGAGAGACCCGGCCCTGAACGTTGGTGGAGCCAAGCCCCCCTGGCTCTGAATTTGCTGGAGCTGGGGCACCACAGGCCCATATAACTCACTGCCCCTGCGAGTGGTGGCTGGTCACGCTGGACTGACTTCGTTTCCAGCTGTATTGAATTGTACTCAAAGGTGGCTAAAATGTGTGAAATACATTGTTACCATTTCTTCTTCCCATCCGCAATTGCTGGGGTGACCACCGGGGTGTTCATAGGGTGGGACCTGCTCATAGGCAGCAGGTATAATAGGCCAGGGCAGGCTAAGCCTCCCCTGGCACTGCTGCAGCTGCCGGTTGCAGGTTTGCACAGGGAAGTTTTTGCTTATTATTATGCACCATGCAGGTTCCAGGACCGCTGAGGTGTCATGTGCTATTCAGCTTCCTGGGTTCATCAGTGATCTCCCTGGATGTGAGCTTTTCCCATGGGGTAGCTTGGGGTCTCAGACAGGGAGGCACAGCGTGACACAGCTCGGGGGGCTCCAGCTGGCCCAGGGCTCCTCCCACTACCCATAGAGCTGCTTCAAGAAACAGTGTCTGAGGGTTTGACTGTACTAGGCAGGAGGTTTCTCTCTCTCATTGTACAATCCTAGTGTGGACAAGGCAAGTGATAGTTTCACCTTAGTATAACTGGGCAAGAGGAACTATGGGGGATGGCTCGGCAGACTCGTGTTCACCTTGATTAGCTACACGGAGGTGAAACATCACTAGCCTCATCGCTAGGCTGTGAATCACTTTGCCAGAAGCTGAGAATGGACAGGGGATGGATCACTTGATGATTCCCTGTTCTGTTTATTCCTTCTGAAGCACCTGGTATTGATCACTGTTGGAAGGTGATCATCCAGTGATCCATTCCCTGTTGCCCATTCCCAGCTTCTGGCAAACAGAGGCTAGGGACACCATTCCTTGCCACCCTGGCTAATAGCCATTGATGGACCTGTCCTCCATGAACTTATCTAGTTCTTTTTTGAACCCTGCAATGGTCTTGGCCTTCACAACATCCTCTGGCAAAGAGTTCCACAGGTTGACTCTGAGTTGTGTGAAGAAATACTTATTTTTGTTTGTTTTAATCCCGCTGCCTATTAATTTCATTTGGTCACCCGTAGTTCTTGACAGAGCAAGATGGGTACCCAGAAATCACCTACTACAGGACAGGCCCACCAAGGACAATAACAGAACACCACTGGCCATCACATACAGCCCCCAGCTAAAACCTCTCCAGCGCATTATCCACGATCTACAACCTATCCTGGAAGATGATCCCTCACTCTCACAGACCTTGGGAGGCAGGCCAGTCCTCGCTTACAGACAACCCCCCAACCTGAAGCAAATACTCACCAGCAACTACACACCACACCACAGAAACACCAACCCAGGAACCAATCCCTGTAGCAAACCTTGTTGCCTACTCTGTCCCAATTTTACCTCGGGAACCACCTCAAAAGAACCCACCCACACCAGCCACACCATCAAGGGCTCATTCACCTGCACATCCACTAATGTCATATATGCCATCATGTGTCAGAAATGCCCCTATGCAGTGGACATTGGCCAAACCGGACTGTGCATCCGCCAAAGAATAAATGGAGACAAATCGGACAT